TTTCCGTCTCAGAAGCTGCACTGTCCCTCCTTGAAGAGGGTTTTGTCGGCGTTTTCACCGGCTCGGTGCTGGATGCGTGCTCTTTCCAACGTAGCAACCCCTTCTTCACGAAATGCTCCCCGTTGAGGTCCTTGCATGCCTTTGGCGTTCTGAGCATCCAATTGAGGTAGCCCTCATTGCGGCCTTCTTCATGGACCTGCTCCAAGGTCTTTCCCCTGTGCTTGCCCGTCTTCAAAATGTAGTGTGTATGTGGATCGTTCGTCGCTCGAGTGCGGTACTCCTCATCGACTTCGTTTTCAAGGGTCTCTTTGGCAGGAACGAAGCTGTTTTTGTTTGGGTTTGACGAATTGCCCCACGCCTTCTTCGGTGTCCGGTATGGTGGCATTCTCGGTCGCGCAATATAGCGGGTACGATACGGGGGCTAATGCAGAAGCGTCGGCAGCGGTGGGGCGGTGGTCGTGCCAGGAAGATCAACCTAACTATGTCATCGTACCAGCTTTCCACAGGGTGTACACGGGTAATAGTATACTTACTGCTAAGAGCGTATGTCAATGAATTGAATAAAAGCGGTCGAGTTGAAGACAGTTACAAAGTTTATGATTGTTGAGTCTGCGACGCGGCCGCGGCCGCGGGAATGACGGCCGCCGCGCGAAACCCTGGCTGTGACGTACCCTTGGTTCATCACCAATGCTGCAATTGGACACTCGACAGCTGTATACATCAAATTGCTTGTGAGATCGACAAGAATGCTATCTGTAGTTTCTTTGTTTCGCATCATGCCTACAACTTAGATGCGTCTGGCTAATCAGCGACGTGGAATTCGGAAGGTGGGCATGTCGCAATGCTCGACCCTTATCCTATATTCAAGTAAAACGAGACGTTAAAGCCCTAGGAATATGTGTAGATGCAATGTTCTCGTGTTGGAAGTGTGTTGAGAAGGTGAGGGGTAGGAGTATGGGCAACTTGTTGGCCTTAGCCTAATCGAGCTAGTCAGTCGCGAAACCCACGTTTTCACGCGATATAACCGCCGTTTTGAGACGCATGACGTCGCACGCTACGCGTCTGAACCCTTTGACTTGAACCCCAGCATTCTAACAACACCATCTAAATACCTACCTACTACCTTGCGTCATGTCAGGCGAACCTGAGTCTTCCGTGGCAGCACCAGCACCTTACTACATTTCGAAGTCGGCTATCTGTACCAACAGCAAAGGCGAGAGCATTGGTAATGGTCTTTTTGCTAACCGAAGGTTTGGTTCAGGCGAAGAGATCGCAAGCTTCACGAGGCCTCTTGTTGCTTCATTGGAGACGGAGCGGCTGCTCGATACCTGTGCGAATTGCTACCTCTGGACTGAAGGTTCATCGACTGGAACAAGATTGTATGTACCAGAAGGCGCAAAAGTGAACAAGTGTGCTGCATGCCAGATATTCCGCTACTGCAGCAAGGTACGTCGAGTTATCTGCGGGTATGTTCGTAAACTAATATGCATCAGGCATGCCAAAAGGACGCATGGAACCGGGGACATAAGCATGAGTGCAAGATGCTGAAGCCAACGGCTGGTAGACCCCTCCCCAAAGCCTTACTTGCATGTATGGAACTATTCATTAGGCGAAAGCATGGTCTGATTTCCGATGAAGAATGGGAGCTGCTTTGTCGCTTACCTTCGCACATTGACGACTTCAAGCGGAACGGAACCTACGAGAATATCGAACTCATGGCTATGGGGGTCGGTCAGTTCTCGTCGTTGCAAAATCTTTTCGACAAGGACTTTGTTGCAGCGATGTATGGTCGAGTAAGTCTGTGATGTACTCTTCTAACTCTCTCACTGACATGTATAAAGGTAATGTCAAATGCTCTGACACTGATCACACCCACGTTAGATCCTCTAGGTATCATGATCGACCCTACACTCTGCCATATGAATCACTCGTGTAACCCGAACGCATACATCATGATGGACGGTCCGCGAGTAAGCGTTCGGACACTCCGACCCATCAAGAAAGACAAAGAAATCTACATTTCGTACATCGATGCTACGAATCCCTACCACAGGCGACAAGAAGAGCTCCAATCCCGCTGGTTCTTTACCTGCCGCTGCGCCCAATGTCAGGAAAAGGCGACTCTCCAGGAAGACAACTGGCTGGTACCATCAAGGCCTGGATGGGTCTTGGGAGCCGAAGTTGCGTCCATGGCAGAAACTCAGGAGAAGCTGTTTGGTCTCTATGCGGAACTCCAAGCAACAGAAAATCCCCTGCTTGTTAGAGCAGCGATCAGGCAAGCACTCAAGATATGCCATGAGGCAATGTTTCTGCCGATTTATCGACAACCATATGCTGCACTCCGCGACGACTTGATTGTGAACCTGCTTTCCGAGGGACGTTACCAGGACGCATGGGCGCAATGTGCAAAGCGGTACAAGTACATTCTTCCCAAGCTCTACCCAGTCTCGTTCCACCCGGTCCGGGTAGTACAAACATGGCAGATGGCGATGTTGGCCGCATACCTAGCAAGTACTCCAGAGGGAGTAGGTGCACCGGAGGTTAACATGGGTCTCATTGCCATGATGCTGGTAAAGCAGGTGTTGAATGTAGCGCACCTGAGTCATGGGCCGGCTAGTGCATTCACAAAGAGTGTGAAGGCCAAAGCGGAAGAGATGACAGAAGAGCTTAAGAGGAGTATTGGAAACGCAAACAGTGATGTCATGAACAGGGAGCTTGAGGTTCAGAGAGACAGGCTGATGGAGATGGGGGATTGGGCTCAGGACGGCCAGATAGAGGAACGGGCAAAGATTTTAACTCTGCACGAGAAAGCCTTCAGTGTATGAGCACAGCCACCCCGCGCGTGCGTGTTCGTGCTGTAGGCAAGGCATATAACAGACCACATGGCAATTCTACCTCTTACACCTCAACAACAATACCATTCTTCACAATTTCAAAAAGCCGAGAAACCTCATCACATGGCTCTTCGCTTGTTCCTCTTCTTTCAAAACGTCACAGCGAAAGTTTCATGTGCGGCCTGGCGACCCGGGATACCTGCATACAAACACCGGGTTATCCAGAACAAAACGCATGGTGCACATATCGATGGAAATATGTCACCGTCAAAACTGCGCATCAATGTAACATGTTCGGACTGTTGACGGTAACATCCATGTCACCGGGATCTTCTCGCGCAGGCTAACTTCCATCTGTATGAACACCCTTTCCACAGCTCTTTCTTCCTTCAGCGAGCGCATGAATGAGAAATTACCAAAAACGCGATGCGATATATCGATGTTACCTGTGGATCAGCAGCGCACTCCAGAAACCAGGCATGCTACTCGTATGTCCCTGAGAGCTCAATATCAGCTCTGCTCTACATTTTCCTGTGGTCTAATTTAGCAAGAATGAGTAAAAGACATGGCTCAAATACATGTCCGGCGGCTGCGAGAGCAAGTGGAAGAAAGGTAAAAACGAACAGAACTTTTCATGTGGAGCACGTTGAGTGGCGTCGTATCAAAACTGATCTGAACCATTTCCATGTTGCGTTCTGCTCTGGCAGTCGAAATTAGTGCACTACCATATACAAGAAAAAAAGCTAAACAGGTCTAGAGCCTACATCAATGTGAGGTCACCTGTTGTGCATGTTTCTATGTTTTTGTAGGCTGCAGACCTGTTCGGTCTTTTCCCAGGTTGATTTGGCACCGTCCACCGCACCTATAACCAGCGAGTCGCAGTACCATCGGTAATCTTCCCCCACACTGCTTTCTCTTTCTCCAAACGCTACCAACAGCAATCCAGGTCCACTACTGGGCTCTTCCATATGCCATGCTCTGCGCCGCAGCTTCCAAATATTGAAGCTCGCGCTTACTTCGGCCATGAAAACCGGTTCAAAGTTTACAGCAACGTATTGCTATCCCCCTTCAAAGCTCAACCTGATCCAAGCATGGGCAGTCGCTTACCCTTCCGAAAACACGCATAACATTTGATCGTGGGTATCCTAGGAAGACGGGGTGTGGACGCGTCTGCCCTGTCGATCAAGCTAGCAGCACAAGGGAGTACCATGCTGCGCCATGGGACGATCTGGAGAAAGCTAAATCTAGCGGGAGTGTGTCGGTAATCATGACTTTCATAGACCAACCAACAAGAGGGCCTTTAAACGGAGCCGCCGGTGCTAGATACTGAGCGTGTCCGCCAAGGGACTTGATTTCTGATGCAAGCGCACTTTGCGACAGTCAGCGTCAAACTATTGGTATGGTGTTTCGATGGCTCGTGTGATCTGGTTTTGGATTGACTTACTCGGCGAGCAGATCGAGTTGATCGACCTAAATGACGTGTGTGCTGGATTGGAATAAGTGTCCGCTAGGCGAATCACATTAAGCCTGTCAAATAGAGTGGTAAGAGAGCGTGCTCGTTCCGATACTGCAAGGGAGTGGATTATGGCGTTAAGGTTTCGACGGGCTTGTCGATCGGCAAACAGTCACGCTAGACCAGGGCTGAAGAACCACGGCAGAAGCAATATAGGGTTCGAAAAGGTGAACTAGTGAGATTGGGGCTTGCATGAGATACGTGCGATGGACGCAAAACGTGCCACTATAGTAAGCCCTATGGTGTGATTGTGTAGTGCCTTGCGTCAAACCTTCGTAAATCGACGCGCGATTCGCGCCATGTTTCCCCACAGCTTCGTGAGCTCGGTTTCGTAACGAGGCTCAGTCGTCGTAAGAAGGAATTAATTATTACGTTACCTGAGGGAATGATGCGTGATGATGTAGCCATTAGAGAGCAGATTGGTAAGATTCGTGAAATGGGTATCTATGTTGGAGAAACTGGCGTTCAGAAATGCCGCCGTACAAGAATATCGCCGAAGCGGGGGTATGCTGGATATCGCTAATCGCAAAAGTTTGTACACAAGTTGGCGTATCAGGAGCCGAGTGTTTTTGTAGCACCGGTCGATGATCGCTCAGGTTCGCACGAAGCTACCCACTGGGAGTCAGTCAATGCGCGAGCTTTGCCCGCAAAGCCTATCCTCTCGACACCGCCTTCCCAAACATTGACAACCGACTTTTCTTGGGCTTACCTGCTGCCCCTCGCTGCTCCTCCCATGGTGAAACGTCATTGATCTGAAGTCGCCTACCAAGACCTAAACGTTCACGTGGAGACTCATACCAATGCTTGGAGAGCTCGGATGGCGCAATAGTAGATGGAGCAATGGAATACGAATCGTCATCGTCGTCGTCATCGCGATCCTCTCGAAGATCATCAGTGCTGGCTAGCGACGCTTCGTATAAAGTTGGTAGCGCTGGAGCTGATGGTGTCCTCCTATAGTGCGGCATGTGTGCAGACCGCTGAACTGGCGGTGGGCCCTTCGTTGCCATTGGCCGACTGAAGTTCTGGACCGGTCGCTGAGGGGCATAATGTGGGATAGACGATGCATCCAAGGGCGACTCGTAGATGGCGAGCGGTTCGCTTTGTCGGCGCTCTACAACAGGTTGGGGTTGAAAGAGGAAGTCATGTGAGTCGGGCACATCGCCAAAATTGTTCTCAGCAGGCGCCTGAACAGCATGAGCATCCGTTCCCCATGCTCCTTGGTTGGGCCGGTCGTTCAATTTTCGGAAGATAGTATCTGCAGTGTCCATGACGATCGTATCTGCGGATGTCGTCGAAGAGGCTGGGGAATGTGGTCGTGAGTCTACTGATCCGTCTATGCTTGGACGATCGCTCGAAGTGGAGTTCGAGAGCCGAACTGGTGACTGCATGGTAGAATCGTAGGACGCGCCAGCGCTCTCGGACCTGGGGGGTAACGCGCCAGACGCAGCGGGGTCGTCTGGGAAATAGTAGGACATCTCCGGGAGCGTGGTAGTTGATGGCGAGGATCCGAGGCCAGAAGCTCCATCTCGGATAGTAAGGTTTGATATGGAGGCAGATGCGACTGAGTTGGGTGGGTTACGGGTGCCATCTGTCATGACAGAGAATCTCGACTCGTTCCAGGGGGCGTTCTTGAGAGGCGAGCCAAAGGAGCCCTTGGACGATACGCTGATTCTGTTGTCCTTGCTGTATGCGCTTGTTGTTGAGTACCGGTGTTTGACGGATTCAGGAACACCGTCCCATTTTGAATTGACCTTGGGGACAGAATTTGGAAGTTTTTGGCCGACATAGTTGCTGCTGGCTCTTGACTGCGGCGTAGAGGTTCCGGAGTTGAGATTCTGCTTGCGCTGCTGTTCCTTGAACTGCTCCAAAGCGACTTGGGATGGTTCCTTTAGAGAAAGGAAACCGAGCACGGAGCCCTTTTTCTTCTTTTTCGATGACTTTGAGCCATTTGACGAAGAGTTGCTGGAGGATATGGAAGCCAGACTGGATGACGTCAGGGAGGTAGTGTCGAAGGACGGGCGGGAGATGTTCGAAGGAGCGTTTGGATCCGGGGTCGCGGGCGGCTCTTGACTATAAGCAGAGTCGGGCCCAGAGTCCTGGGAAGCAGAGTCGGCGATGGAAAGGCTGTCGGACGGAAGCGGATTTCTGTACTTCAGCTTGGGCATGCGCGCCAGCGGGGACTGTGCTGTTAAGTCTGCATTCGGAGCCATGGCTAACGAAAGTGATTTCGGTCGGGTGGGCCCTTAGGGTTTAGCGGCCAGTCAGTGCCAGTTTGATCGTCGTTTGATTGGCAGGCCGTCGCTAAGGCGTAGCGCATGTCATGCAGGTGCAGGTAGCGGACAGTAGTCGAGGGTCGAGAAGTGAGGAATTTGAGTGGCATTTGGAAGGATGATATGAAGGTGGAGAGGTGAGGGTCGAGGACGGGACGGCAGATGAGGGAAATGGGCGTGTCTGTACCGAGCTGGAGAGTCTGCAAGTAGAAGGCGCAATTGAGGGCTCCAAGGCTAGCAAAAAGCAAGAGCGACTCACCGTGGAGGACGCAGGCTGGGACGGGTACGCTACGCTTCAAGAGACGTGATTCTGATGGCTATCCACGCGGCACCGCCTATCAGAGTATTGCCATTGGCGGGCTGAGCATGGCGTTTTGGTGGATTACTTGGGTGGCTTCTCGCTCTGGCGCTGACCCTTGCAGGCGTTCGGCTGCGTAAGACTCTCATCTGCGAGGATGTCGCCGGACTAGACGGACGCGTTTTGCGACATGCAAATTGGCAATCAGAGGGCAGATCTTGAACGCCGTTATGTCGGCTGTGGGTTGGCAGTTGCTTCAGAGGAGTGCACTGACACTGCCTCGTGCCGATGCCGTCTTTAGTCCTTACTTTGTCTCCTATATCCCTCAAGGAACTTGCCATTCTGTTCGACCAGACCGCATGTAGGTCGGATAGACATGACAAGATTCAGACGTCGGGAATAGCGGCGCGTCACGCAATCGCTGTCTGAGAATGCCACGCACGGCCACAAGCAAGTGCAACCGAGGTCAGTGTGCAACTGGCATCGTGATGGTGTACACGGAGTACTCGGAGCGCGGATTACCATGTTCGGACACTCCTTTCAGGTGACAGCTGGATAGTAGTATGATGAGATGTGTATATCCTTCCAATAACACAGACTATCATGTGACACTCTTACTCGGATACGAGAGACCAGGCTCAAGATCTCTTCTTCTAACATCATCGAGTGTTGTCGGCGGACTGTGTGACGTGTGGCGGTTGATGTTGGATGGCCGGCTTTGTTACAAGATAGACGAGATCGACTCCCGTACAGCCGAATCGCAGCCAAAGAAATTATCGCCCGCAGGCCGGCTCCGCACAACCCTCGCCCTCATCTCGCGACGTGTCGACAGCAGCAGCCAGCGTGGGCGTTCCCGCGCACAATCTTGCACGACCGACATCCCCCTCGCAAATCACACCTGGCATGGACGGCCCCGGCACAAGTCTAGACAGCGCCTAAGACGCCGCCACCTTGCGGCGAACCACCGCCGGAGATTTACCAGCAGCGCTCCTAGGCCTCTGCGTGGCCTGACCTTGCTTTCACCGCAGCGTGGTCGCCGATCGCCCTCCTGCCACGACTCTCCGGCTTTGCGCCTGGCGACGTCTCCCTCCACCAAGCCATGCCTGCGCTCCTGGTCGATACGACCGCGCGCCCGGTGTCCTCCAGCGATGCCTCGACCGCCTCGGAGCACTCTGGCGCCCGCTCCAAGTCGCCCACGCCCGACCGCCCGCCTGTGTCACCTCTCACGCCCACGGCCTCCGCTGCCCAGTTAGCTCCTGTGGAGCGCACCGAAGCCCGACCCCGCCCTGCCCCTCCGCCCACGGCCACCTTCAGACCGCAACCGCCGTCCGTCGCCATATCCGAGAGCGAGAACCCAGATGCCATCGCCCTGCGCTCCGCCATCTCGCTCCTGCAGCTGCAGCGCGAAAAGAGCAAGCGCGACCTGAGGGCCCTCCAGGACCTCAAGGCAGCCGCTGTATCCGACCCGCAGGCGTTCGTGCGCTCGCTGCAAGAACAACGCGCGCAGGCCTCCCAGTCGCACCAGGACATCCTCACGCCAACACTGGCCGGTCTGTCCGACGCAGCAAGCAGTAGCGAGCAAGACGCGAACAGCGCAGACACGCGCAAAGATTCCACGCACATGGAGGCGAAGCCAGACCCACCCAAGTTCCCCGCAATACCGCAGCCGCAGAACATCGTGCGATGTCCACCCGTCAACTGGGACAAGTATCACATAGTCGGAGAGCCGCTAGACAAGATGCACGAGGAGCAGAAGAAGTGGCCGGGCTCCGCTGAGCCTCCGCGCACAAAGTCTGGCCAACGAGCACCCCCGCACTCAGTGACAGCGCCATACTCTCCTTTCACTGACGGCGTCAGCGCTGGCTCGTCGTCAACCCCCCAACCCACCAAGAACTCCAAGAAGACGCCGTCGTGAGGCCGGATAGCACCGTGCCAACCGGCTGCGACCCAACACCAAAGCGCAATGCGCAACACTTCATCACTACCACAACCGCTTATAACTATTCCACTCCAAAAGTCCGAGAGCACAGGCTGCTCTACGAAAGTAATGCACTTATGGTCATCATGATAGACGATGCCTCACGAATAGACGACGAGACCATAGCGATAGACCCGAATACAAACAGACTAGACAAGCCAGTCCTTGACCTACATGGTGCGTTCGATCACTCACCTCACTCATGGAGAAGTCTGAATACCACGGAGCCGACATCAAGATGGAAACATGCAAAGTAGGTGACCCAACGTTAATGTAGGCTCTAGACCTGTCCCAGTTTTCTCTTGTGTGGGGTGCACTCATAGGCGATCTTGTTGAATCCAGCTTCTATTTGTGTCACCGTAGTCTGCATCGATTCGTACCTGCACACGCACGTTGCGGCTGTGCACCCCACAGTGGTCCCGCGTGGCTGGCACATCTGCAAGCGCCGCGCTCCTGCCTACACCGATGCAGAGATTGACGAGAGTTTCGGCACTCTTTCTTTTTTCAACTCTGCCATCATCACCCAACCAAAAATCTAGGCACGTCAAGTTCCTGACGTTCCTGCTTTACCCCTGCGTATTTGCTTCGCTTAGCGCTGCGCTACGTCATAATTCCAGGGTCTGTACACCACACGCCCAGCAACACGTCAACATCATGGTCAGTGTGTTGAAAAGGCCCTGATTCGTATTCAATGCCGTTGATCTTGAGGCTGAGGCCCCGTTGGTTGGGTTTGCTATTCGCTTGTTGCCATGGCCGGGCCCTAGCAGCGACGTGCGGGTCTTTTGCACGGTCGTCGTCGCATCGTAAGCTTGTATTCGCGCGTCACGTATAAGTGGTTGACTCTTCCTTTATCGCCTTTGACGCATACTCAACATCTATCGCTTTTGTCTTTTGTCTGCGTTTCAGCCTTGCAGCGCTGTTTGAACACATCGCCATTCACGGGTCGCACATAGAGGGATCGCGATTACTTGCGCCTTTACACCTGCACCACACCTATACTACAACCGTAAAGCCAACACCATCACGATGCGCTTCATCGCAGTACTACCGGTGCTATGTTGTACCGCGGCCCTCATCCTCTCGTTTCTCTGCCTATTTGCCGGGCATAAGAAAGGCTTCATGGAAGACTACTCTCTCCTCACGCTCAACACGTCCGCCGTTGGGCAAACGCTCATCCAAGCTCCATCAGAAGACTCTGACTCCACACTTTCATCCATCATAAACCTCATTCCCGATTCCATTACCGACAGCGTCACCAACGAAATCAATGAGCAGATCGACGAATTCCGCGAGCGCGTTGGCATCGAGGACTGGTACTCGGCACACATGCTCAACTACTGCCAAGGACAGTATGAGCCTGGAGAGGTGGCCAACGCCACGCTGAGTCAGGATGACATTACCAAGAACGTCACCGAATGCGCAAAGAGCAGGGCTACCTACAAGTTTGACCCCACGGCCATCATCCAAGAGGCGATCAACAAGACGGGCGTAGATATCACCCTGGAGGACTTGAACTGGCCAGATGACATCCAGAACGGAATCGATGCACTCAACGCGCTCATGGCAGCTATGTTTGTGCTATATGTCATTGCCATCTGCCTCATCTTCATCACGCTTGTCACCAGCGTTCTTGGAATCTTCATCGGAAACGGACGACTTACTCCCTGCATCAACTTCCTTCTTGCGACACTCGCCTTCCTGGCAATCGGCCTAGCGAGCGCTCTTGTCACCGCTGTGATGGTCAAGGTAAGTTTTGACTGTACAAAGTGCATGGGAGACATACTAATTTTTTTCTAACAGGGAGTCGATATTATCAACAAGCACGGCAACGACATTGGCCTGAACGCGAATTGGGGCGGCAAGTTCCTTGCTTTGACATGGGCCGCAACTGCACTTATGCTCATTGCACTTCTTGGCTGGATCGCCAGCTTCTGCATCGGCGGCAAAGACCATGGTTCTCGCCGTGCTCGCAAGCCCTACAAGGTTTAAAGGCCGAGATCAGAGAAAATCATACAACCTCTAGACTGACAAATCGGTCATGTTGATGTGGAGAACTTTTTTGGAGTACAGCGGCCTTCGTCTTTTTACACGACCTCACGAACGAGTTCATGTCTTTCCTTAACGTTTTGTCATATACCCCCCAGATACCAGAATGTGTTGTTGAACAGATTCAGCGATGAAGATTGTTTACCTTAGTTTATTATGAATGGATATACTCAAACAAAACTGTTGTTCCCTTGCATACATGCACCTTATACAGGAAAAAAGCTAAGCAAGTTTGCGGACTATAACAACATGTAAACATGCGAGGTAAGTGGTCTAACGTTAATGTAGGCTTTAGAGGGTTTTGTATTTCTCTAGGCTAACATGCATGCACTTCTCTCATACCCTAGAACTAAAAGACCAGCATACGCCATCGATTTGTCACGCAACAGAACATTTTAGTGAAGTGCGCCTTCGTACACTGTTGTCCACCGTTATCTGTACAAAATCGTCATTACTGTTTACCACGTACCGCGTGCATGATACGCAACACGAATTACTACAACGTGTACTCGACACCAATATATGCCAACTCAAGTATGCATCGTCATTCCGACATTCACGTCCTTCTCTTCCGTACTATATAACCAGAAAATACAGCATAAGCCTCCTTATACTTCATAATCATCATCTTCGCAAATCCACCTACTCATTTACAGACCGTCTTCCGTCAACTTCCAGCTCACCCAACCATTCTTCTTACCTTGCAGCAAGTAACATATCCCCCAACAAGATCCCATCATGCCACGGTACCAATCTCGACCCCGAGGCTTTGGATATGACCAGGCTCCGTAGGTTTATCTACTCTCTCACGACACTTCACGCCGTCTTGTATATAGTTGTCTTTCCTACTAGCACTGACTACATTTCAAGACATCTTCACTACGGCCCCGCATTCGACTACAACGGCTACCAAGAAGGCCGCGAGGGAGGGCGTCGCGTGCGGGAACACTCATACACGCACGCTGGGTCAGGATTGAGAGTGATGAGGTACGATGCTGGAGGCGATGACGACGACGACTATTACTACCGTCGCCGCGGCGGTGACGGAAGGGAGAGGTGGGGGTGGAGAGAGAGGTTTAGGTGCTGGTAGTCTGTCTAAAAACCAGGACAGCCTGGAGCCTACATTGGCGTTAGGCTGAACACTTTGCATGTTTTTAAGTTGATGTTATCTCCAGGCCTGTCTGAAGATAGCGAGCACGTCAACGGAGAGAAGCAGATGTAGTATCAATGTTTTCGTCTGTATCAAACGGGTATCTAGATTCATTACCTTCATCAAGTATGCCTGGTCTCCGACCATAACTATGCATGTTCCTCGCTCGTTTGGATACCAGTCCAGATGTTCCGTCATACTCCGACGTAACATGGCACTTGGGGATGGGCCATGACGACATCCTGCTCGCTTTTGCGTAGGTGACCAAATGCCGGAGAATACCCAGAGTGGCAACGCATCCAAATGTTGCGTAAATGGTGTACATGTGTTCCTGCTGCTCATCGCTGGCGGATGATTTCTAGTAGAGTCCGGTATCAGTGGAGGCCGAAATCGAGTTGAAGAGGAATAAAGCTTGCGCACCTGTGAGAAACTCCTCGCTACGAATACAGTTAGCACTTGTTCGAAAAGCTTTCTTTCACACTCCTTCGGATGTCACTTACAAGCTCAGCGTGATATAGCCGTCGCGATCCTCGTCATACTTCTTGAAGACGTCCGTCATCCTCTTCAGGCTAATACACGCTTGCACGAACAGATCGAAGCTCAGCGCGTTGCGTCCGTCGCGGTCGTACGTGCGGTACAAGAGTGTGACGAACGCTTGGGAGAGACGGTATCCGAAGGCGATGAGGGCTTCGTTGAATTCAGCGTAGGATATACTGCCGGAATGGTCTTGGTCGAAACGGTCGAACAGGCTGCGCCAAGCTGAGAGGAAGCCCCAGAGCCCACTACAAACAATGTGTTAGCTTGAACCGGTCACGAGAGAGACGAGGCCAAGTACCAGAATTCATCAAAGTTGACAGAACCAGATCTGTTGGTGTCGAACATTCGGATCATCATACGGACAGTATGAGGATCGAAAGGTGTCCAGTCTCCATTGACGAGCGCTGTTCGCAGCTCAGCCTCTGTGAGCTCACCACTCTCTGTCGCATGCGTTAGCATTCTGTACATGCGAAGTCTTGCTACGACATACTGTCTTTGTCGACCGCGCCGAACAGCCTCCACAGCGCTTCGCGGTCATTCGCATCTCTTGGCGGCGGCGCAGGAGTAGGCGGCGGCCTCGACTGCTGCGCCAACTGCGGCCTTCCATGGTATCCTTGTGGCGGAGGTCCATGACCATAGTTGACTGGTGGAGGCGATCCAACTCCCATTCTGTTGTCTGGCCTCGCGTCGTATCGGCCGTCGTACCGCGGGTCGCTGTATGCGCCTGGTGGGGGTCTGCTGTCATATCCACCACCTCCTGCGCCGCGTCCACCACCGTAGCGCTCATCGGGACGAGTGTCGTATCTCTGACCGCTGGGAACGGGTGGGGGAGGTTTGTTGTAGTCGGGACGCGCGGAGCTGGTGCGCGGTGGGCGTGAGGCCGCGGATGCGTTTTGCGACATCATCGCAGCAGCCTGGTCTACGTCAGTCCTGCAGGCGCGTCGAGGGACTCCAAAGACGTACCTGCTCAGGCTCGGCGTGCATAGGCAGCCTGTCCGGGTTGAAGCCTTTGTTGTACGCCATGGTGGGAGCGAGTCGTCGTGTGTTTGCAAGGTGGAAAGCAAGATGTCGCAAGGTCGAGGGCTGATGATATATGAAGGTGACACCAAGCTTCAGCTTCTCGGCGCGGGCAGCAATCGTCACGCAGACAAGTGACTCCCAAACACAGGGAGATGCTAGTAGGTTATCGTACAAAGGCTTTGCGATCAGCCGAGTAAGATGCGGCTCCAGCGATCAAAGCCCAACGTTGCCCTTCACAGCCCGGTTGCGGCTGACACCAACGGCGACCCCTTGGGTAGGCATATGCGCAGCGGGGCAGTAGGCTTGGCCCTATGACGCACTAGCCCTCGTGCCGGTCAACAACAAGGGAATGTCTACCGCGATGCGAATACGGGCAAGTCCGTGTAGGCATAGCGCAAAATTTGATCGTGGTATTCTTACCCAATGTTCCGATTTCCGAAAGTTCGGCCAGTTGCTGTGGGGTTTGCAGGTCATTCGTTCCCTCCAGTGCCGAGTCACGTAGAGCTTGCGTAATGGGGTATCCTTGTATGTCTAGGTGGACTCGTCCAAGTTGTTCATTGATATTATTTTTTACAAAGAAGTACAAATCGCAACTCTGATCTTTCGTCATGCCATAACCGGGCGCCCGAGGGTGTCCAAGTGCAACCGTCAAATTGTGAAACGAGACAAAATACTAGATGATAACAACGACAATCATCCTGGGTATCCAACGCCCCTGCACCCAAGTTCTACAATTCCTTCAAACAAAAACAACGGTATATAGTATGCATCGAGCATCGCTGGCTGGCCTCCAGGAAGTAAAGACCGTAACAGGAGGATAAAAATAAGGGGTACAAATACAGCATGGCCGAGGCCACACGAGAAAGAAGATCGCTTCAAAACAACTTTTCGAGCTCCGCTACGCTGCTCAAGTCTTGACTCGCTTCTGGTTGCCGTCATCTGAGCCCTGATCAGACGTCTTGCGCTTGCGCTCGGCAGAGTCGTCGCGGGCGAAGCTGGGTCCGTTCGGGGCTACCGGAGTCTGGAAAGTCAAGGGGCTCGGCAGCATGTTGGAGTCGCGGCCAAAACCCCACTCGGGGTAAAAGCTCGAAGGCGAGGGAAGCAGGCCATTCTCAACAAAGCGACTGGGAAGTGCTGAGATGGGGGTTTCCATGTTGTCGCGACTACCGTACGAGTTGCTGTTTGATGGCGGCGGAGGACGAGCGAAAGGGTTGGGCGGGCCAGTTGCACCGGCACTGAGCAGCGAGTTGGCACTTGGTGACGGAGGAGGCAGAACTACGCCGGAAGAGTGCGATGCGTCGGTGCTTCGTCCAGGAGTTGCACCCGTCGTCCCAGAGTCTTTGGGAGACGAGTCGGCCGTCGCACTTCCAGCGTCTGACTGTTCGCTTGGAATCTGTACCCTCAATCTCGGCTTGCTTTCACCACCCATGCGTAGGCTGTTTGTTCGCGACGGAGGAGGAATGGTGGGCATGGAAGACGTAGACTGTGTTCGCTGCGGCGGCTGCTGAACAGGCGCTTGTGGAGGCTGCGCTTGAGGCTTCGGGTCCCCGTTTGGCTGCAATCGCGACATGGCGGCCACGTCAATCGATTGCGCTCGGTTCTCCTGTTTGATGTAGGGAGCCTCGCTGCGAGACAGGTTTGAGTTGTTGCTGCTGCCCCAGTGTGCTGCGAGCATGGACTGGCTATCGTCGATGGGTGTGAAGATGCTGTGTCTGGCAGACGCGTGTAGTGGCTTGGGCTGAGGAAGAGGGGGGCTCTGGAAATCGTTCTGTTGCGGCGGCGACGGAACGGTGATTGTGGGCTGTTGCGGGTGCTCTTGTTGCGGCTGAGACACTTGCGGGGGTGGAGGTGGTGGAGACAATCGATGCTGCTGAGCCTGTTGCTGTTGTTGCTGCTGTTGGGCTTGTTGCTGAGCCTGTTGCTGTGCTTGTTGCTGAGCTTGCACCTGAGCCTGTTGTTGCGCCTGTACCTGGGCCTGCTGCTCTTGTTGATGCTGGTGTTGCTGCTGCTGCTGCTGATGTTGGTGCTGTGCCTGTTGCTGCTGCTGGAAGGTGGGTGGCATAGACTGTCGGCGCTGCTGCTCTTGCTGCATGTACTGGACTTGAGAATGTGTGGGCATGGGGTGCGTGAACTGGTACTGGGCGGCGGGCGGTGTAGGCTGGGGCTTGGGCGCCATCTGCTGGGCAGCTTGCGGGTTGTAGAAGGGCGGGGTCGGCATGTAGGCATAGTTGTTGGGCGGCTGAGGGGCTTGCGAAGGGTAGGGCTGCGGCGGCGCGAGGTTGGAGCTCGGTCTGCGGATGTGGCCTACTCGCGAGTTCGGTCGCGACAGGTGATGCGGCGGCTGTGGGGAGGGCCCTCGCTGCTGGAAGGCGCCGTTGCCGATTGGCGGCGACATGGACGGCGCGCCGTGTCTTATGTGCTGGAACTGCGAGTGCTGCATGTGATGGGGCATCATCGAGTGCTCGGGCGGGGTGTGCGAGTCCCGGGGCAGGGCGCCCTCGTCGTCCTCATCATCCTCGTCGTCGCCGTCCTTCTTGCCCATAAAGTCCTCTGGACCCTTGTGCTCGTGGGCTCCGCCATACTGCGTGACCTGTCAGTGTCATTCTGCTTTAGCGCGGCTCTCGATCCAGGGTCGTCGGGGATGCCTACATATTGGTACCGGCCAATCGTCTCGTTGATGTCGCCGGAAGAGAATTCGTAGAGCTTCTTGTTGTGGCCGAAGATGATGACGGCCACGTCGACGGAGCAGAGCACCGAGAGCTCGTGCGCCTTCTTGAAGAGGCCGCCTTTGCGCTTGAGGAAGGTGCTGCCGCGGGTTAGTGGCTGCAGATGCAGGTGAGGGCGCGGTGCTGGCAGCTGACTTACACGGAGCGGTTCCGGTCGTCCTTGATGGCCTTGATCTCAATCTTTCTGCGACCCATGGTGGCTGGCGATGCTAGACGGGCAGGCGCATGGAGCGACGGCGAGGCTTCGAGGAGCAGAGCACGATGGCACTAGCTTGCGCGGCAGAGGCGTGTTCACGAAGACGTGCAGCGTTTCAGCGCGGCCAGGAGGGAGTGGGCGGCGAGAATCGGCGCGGTGGATGCTCGATTCTTTTTCGCGACTCCAGGGCTATATGGCTGTGATGCGCGACACAAAGGTCGGTTGCTGCACTCACAGGAAGCGTGAGGCTCTGAACGTGATGTGCAGAGGAAACGATGATGGAGTGGGTGGGCGCCCCTATATTTAGAAATCTGGCGTCTGCAGAGCCCAGGCCATCCGATCGCTAATATGCCCGGTTACAGCTTATTTGCTCGGTTTGGACCTTCGTGCCACGTCCGCCGTGCCCTTGCAATTGGGTGTGCAATCTGTACGTCAATCATCGCTGGGCCGGCTAACTGCACTTGGGCTGTTTACTCCACCTGCGACGCCCGGCTGAGTTATTTTAGGGACATATCAGAGCCGGGGTCCAGCGGCCTCACACGCGCAGAACAGACCCTTGATGCCGTACAGTAGCAGAATGAGACAGCTGCCTTTTGCCGGCATTGCGCTACCTCGCTGTGAGCTGCCTCTCAGATTAGCAGGGCCGTCTGACCGGCTCTGCAGCGACCAGACGGGCGTCGCTATTCTTGCGTGCCACGACCACCGGGCACGCGAGTCGGCGCTTGCAGAGATAATGACGAGAGTCGACCCAGGCTGCAGACGTTGGCCAGCGTGGGATAGGCGCAGGGCGGAGGCATTCGGTCGGCCGGTGCTCCTTGTGCGGCATTACACTTACCGGTGCGCCATTTGCACCCTTTCCAAGACCGTGTTTTGCTAGCCACACATGGCGGAGCACTGGCTCAATCAAACCTCTCAAACAGTAGCCTCTTCGACTGTGAGGGCAGTCCCTGGGTGAGCTGCGGCCCGCCAGCGAGTCCTCCGCTCTCTGCGACTGCAATCATTCAATACAGGCAGCCGTCGAGGGCACCCCGCACCCCCCGCCGGATGCGGCGCGGCACCCATGTGCTCTGTATCTTCACACTCCCTGTTAATCTCTATGCAGTCACGTCGCTTGCAGACGATCGGATAGCGTCCATACACATCGTCTCCAGTATCTGCTTCCATGTCCCCAGGCGTTGAAGTTGGATTAGGGCTCGCAGCACGCGGTTCCTAGCGCGGCTGCCTCCCATGTCCGAAACGCGATATTTTTAGAAGGCCATGCCGCAAACCCACTCCCACGGCTGGCATGACGCACCCACGACTGCGTCTGATTGACTGACTGCCCCAGCTTACCTCACCACACATCCAAAGCTCCAGATCGTTACACATTGCTAAGCTGCTGTTCGTCTAACACTTCCTGTCCGCCCTTGTCGTTTTCCCGTTGACATGATCTCACCCGCCTAGCCGCCGGCATCGTGTCCCTTCCCCGGCTTTACTAGCTCATGATTCCGCTTGCGTATACTCCACCGCTGCGAGACTAGTCTATGTGATTGCGGTCTTCACCTGCTGAAGCGACTGTGCCTCACACAGGGCCAGCGGCTCTACCGAACAAGTGCTCTCCATTGAAGCTTGTTGGTTCTAATTGAAGCATCCCAGATACCCGCATCACTCAGCAACGCGTCACTTCATCTTCATCAAAGAAACGACGCCCGCCGGAAAATAAGCGGCCCGGCGCGTCTAACCCCTCTATCAGATGCAGGTACACTCTTCGGCTGTTATTCTTAGTCTCACATGCACACCACCCGGTAACCATCCCTTTGTTTCTTATCATCACCTAACCCTCTCCCAGAGACCTGGTCGATGCAGGTACACATCTCGTGTTATTTTGGGCCGCATGCTGGCCCTCGGGATTCTCATTTCTCCAATCACTACGACCTCTGGCCCCAACCCGAGACCTGTGCCTCAGGGAAGACCGCGTGGTAGATGCAGGTACACTGCTCGGACGTTATTTCTGGACGTCTCAGATTTGATATACTAATCCCAACTTCATGATGACAGAGACGATGCGTTCTCGATCTTCACTATCAACTACTGCACGTCGTCGGCGCCTACAAGAGATCGTCGAGGCACACTTATCAGGGGAGCGGGGATGGGGATGGATAGGTAGTTCAGAATAGAAACCGACATCTTGAGCTTGGCCAATTTTTTCGAAAGCCCTCTCTGAGCGCGTAGCTTCAGCGATACAGCAATCGAGCAGATCCATGAATGGGTTGTTGGTACCATGACTCCACTATGATGAAGCGCTTCGTCAGATAGGGGTACTCTGTTGTTACGCGTTGCGTACATCCTACTATACTGACCCCGGACATGTGAGTTGAGAGAATTCAGTAAGGGGTGTAGGAGGCTCTATGGGAACAGTGAGGAACGTCTGAGACTTCCGAAGCCCTTGCAAATCTTGGGGATCTGGCAACGAAGAGGCAGATTCCTTTCTTGGGAGGACATATCATGATACGTGCAGTGACATGACCCTTTTGTCTGCATCTTTTTGTCCATTTCCGAGACTGTACTGAGAAGGGAACGCTCGAATCAAAAGCTGGAGACAGAGGAAAGTCATGTCTCTATATCTCGATTACGTCTTAGATTCTTCACTCCCGTGATCCAAGTTCATCCTTTCCAAGTATAAAGCGTCTCTTGATCGTTCCCCTCTCCTACCTTCAAAAATTAAAACTTAAAAGCCTTGTGCCCTGACTTTTCACCAAAACCACGAGTACAAGCTTTTATGAGTCCGCGTGGTTTTGCGGTCCCTATATTCCCAAAGAACACGAGATGAAATTACGATAGCCCGGGAAGCCCATAGCGCCGTCCCATGCACATTTCCAGCGTAGCTTTCGCGGCGCGCCACCGCAGCCACATGGCATGTTCAGACTGGAGTTTTGGTAGAAACCTCTCAAGGGTATGAATTGCAGAAAGAGAAAGTGTACTCAACCTGAAGCTTTATATCTCTCTTCCTAACTGCGCTAGTGTGCTCAGACACCGCATGGGTGCGAGCTGCGAAATATAAAACATCGCCATCCCTTACAAGACCTCACTTCAATACTCCGCCCCATTTCTAAGATGCATCCAATAAAATAGTCAACCAAGCATTCTATGGAGTGCTCCTTCGTCCGCTTCTGATGTAAATGAAGAAAGGACAACATGATGTGTGCTTCCGGAAGTCTCTACTCGTTACATGACAACCTACTGGCCGGATTTCTGGAAATTTTGGACAGAAGACAGCAGGTACACCCAGGACGTGGGAGACCGCACATCAGTTGTTTATGGAGCCTTCTTCGAAGACTCTAAGCAATTTGGCATGGCTGGCGCAGACATCAATCGTCAGCTTGTGTGTTTAGAATTGGTGGCTCGCACACATGGTATCTGGTCCGAATCTTTTTGGTGGAACCATTGAAGTAGTGTTGTGAAAGGAATTCCAATGTGACCGAGAGAGATATTTATATGAGCCAGAACACACCAGAAGATGGCTACATGGAAGTCTTGATCCCCCGGGTCCCCAATCTATCTTCCAAATGGTTCATAAAGATTAGCATGAGAACATCAACACCAAAACATGATCAAATGCATTTCAGGATCTTACACATGAAGGTGATTACACAAGCAAAACGTCTTGAATTAAACACTCCAACAGTCTCTCTTTCTAGAACATATAACACGCTACGTCGTCTCCACCATGGTATGTATTATCGTGGTCATCGAGCATGCATGACCACGTAACTGTGCATGTCCGCAAGGATGTGTACCTAGACAACGATGTACATTCCTCCCGAGGTATCTCAGCAAAACGTAAGAAAAATCGAAACAGATACAGAGGGAATGAAGCAAGCCGATTGTCAGCCATAAAGTGTATGAAGCTGACGGGTATTTAGGCGTGGAAAGCACAAATTAATGCCCAGTGTCGTAGAAGAAAAAAACCAGAAAGTCGAAATGGGAAAGGGTATCGAGCAGTTTGTACGCTGGGAAAACAGAACGGGTATGTCATGCTAAAGAAGATCTGAAGAACCGTTAGCGAGGTCTGAGTAGAAGAAGCCCACGATGCTCACCGAAGCACATTCTACCACTGTCTTCCGGCGCCAGATCCAGCTGCTGCCGGCTGGCCATCAACGTTGCCAGTAAGCTCGGCGACACGCGCCTTGATACGGGCAACACGACTTTCGATGGTCTCCTCGCCACTGGTTTCACCTTCATCGGTGCGCTGGCTCTGGCTCACACTGCGGCTACGTCGGACCTGTTCTTCGCTAAGCCTTGCGGCGCGCTCTGCTGCATTCTTTCTAATTTGCGCCCATCGATCCTGAGATGGCGATTGTTGCTTTGTGAATTCGATAGATTCCTCAGAAATGTCATCCGCATACTCGGGTGCGCGTTGAGTTGGGGTCCTAGGGTTCGTCTGTTGCACCTGGCGACGAGGCACGGTCGGGGCGGCAGCGGCGTCGTCTTCGCTCTCATCGTCAGCAGGGGCAAAAGCAGGCATGTCATCCATAGGGCCTTGGTCAAATCGAGAGAAGGCTTGGTCAATTTCTTGTTGCGTTGCTGGGGCTCCAGCAACAGGGCCGCCTGCTTGAATCGGCTCTGCGACCTCGGGTGAGGATGCTGCGGGACTAGGTTCGTAGTTTGGCGACGGTGCCTGCACGGGCTCCGGATGGTTGTCGGTGTAGGTCGGCGATGGCTCTCGTACGTTGGGCTGATGATCATCCAGTCGAGAGGTACTGCGAACGGCATCGGATGCCTGGAAGTACGAATCATCCGCAGGCGCAGGTACTGCTGCAGGCGTCTCGGTCTTCTTTCTTCCGAAAAGCTTCCTGAATCCACTACCTTCCTTCTTCTTCAGCTTGTTCGGTGAGATCTTCTTTCCAGATGCGGCACCCTGATCCTCACTGACGCGAGTCTTGGGCTGAGGGGCTACGACTGGCTTGCGATCGGGGATTGACTTCCTCAAGGCAGGGTGCTGGTTCGGTGTCGCGCCTGTCTGAACAGACTTCTCATCCTCGATGGGCAGTGGTGTCGCGAAGGGCGTTTCCTCGATGGGTGTGGACTGTTCCCGCGTCATTGCGACGGGGAATGTCTGTTGCTGAGGAAGTGGAGTCTGGGTAGGTGACTCATGTGGCCAAGGTACTGGTGTCACAGAGGCCTTGGTAGGCGTGGTGGTATCAATACGAGCGGGCGAGTCTCCTCGCTCAGACTTTGGTAGTGCAGGAAGGTCCCGGTTTGACACGCTTGGAGGCAGCGGGGAAGCGCGGCCATTGGCAGCTGCTGTAAGGTTGTTCTTTGAGCCTCTGCCCGCAGTGTGATCACCAAGGTATTGGGCACGGAGAGCATCCTTATCGAGGGCGGCTTCGCCAAACTTCTTGTCCCACTGCATGGCCGGACCAGCCTCGTTCACCAGATGTGGCTGCAATGTAAGCACACTGTTTGTTTTGACGGACGTAGTATCGTCAGTACGTCCTCGGCGTGTCGCAAATTCTTTTGCATCCTTCTCATCACGCTCGTTCTGAGCCAGTTTCGCGGCTGCAGCCTGTATCCTTGCGTGCTGGTCGGGACCAATGCTAGTCTTGCTCATCGGCGTGTTGGTAGTCGTCCGGCTGTATGGCTCTTTTGGGGTTGGCTTCTTGCCTGTCGACTTCCGCCGACCAAGTCGGCCGCGCCTTGTGAAGCTGAATTTGGACTTCTTCTCCACAATGTACGCACCCTCTTCAGGGGCAGCTGCACCCTTGACCTGCTCTTCCATGACCAGCCACTTTGCGCCCTGGATGCGTGTCTCGATCAACGTGCATCTTCCGAACGCAGCCTTGCGATCAGTAGTCTCTTCGGAAGCCAGACTGATCATCCATACCCACCAGAAAGTCTCATCGAGATCGAATTTGGTGATGCTTGCCAGCTCGCCGGGCTCGAGGTCGTCTTCGCTGAGGCCATTTCGTACGTGTGACTGAGAGCTGTGTACGCGGTGCTCTCCTAGTGGTGGGAGTTTCTGGTTTGGCATCAACAGGGTGGTTGGAGGAGATTGGTTGTTCTCGTCAGCAAAACCCGAGGATAAGAAGTCCGCCCATGAAGGAGTGGTTGGGCGACCAAAGTCGGTGTTGTTTGAGCGGGGCCCGTTTCGGAGACTAGAGAACTCTCGTGGGTTGCCACCCACTGGGGTACCGTTGGTACTGGCGGAGCTGTCCATGATACCCGAAAACCCGAAGTCTTCAAAGCGGGACCATGACGGGTCTGGTGTAGTGGGGTCGGCCGAGACAGTCGATTGGTTGGCCGTGGCAATGCACTCGAGTACTCTGCGGCACTCATCAGTCAGGGCCTTGACGGTGTCGTCATATTCAGAGAACTGCTGTAGCGCTCTGTCGTCGTCTCGGTACTCGAAGTTCTTTGCGCGACGCAGCAACGCGAATGGTGTAGGCGAAACGGAATCCACTATCATGACCACCTTGGTTGTTCGCGTTTGCATAAGGGTCGGTGTTTGCGGAGGGTATTCGGTCTGGGAGAGTAGCGCCTGGAGTGATCGTGGTAGAGCAGAGATGCCGCCGACTACGTTCATATCTGGCGATAGCGATCGCAGGTAAGCAAAGAAGAGATGGCTGGCAGCGTCCGCGGCCCTATAATTTAGTTAGTATGCGTTCGTCGTCTAATTCAGCGAGGTTGCTTACTTCTCCCATGTGCGATAACCACCGTCGAAGCCCTTGCCGTCTTCAACGAACTCAAAAGCCCACCATCCGGCTAAACGAGAGAGCTTCCTGCCACCCATGCCGTTGCTCTTGCCTCTCGCGGCGACCGCAGACAGGAGATCGAAGAAGTCGAATATGATGTGCTTGCGAGCCTCAGAGTCGACGCTGATTGGTATGAAAGTGTCGAACGCGTGGCGCGCGAAGTTTGAATCTGGACAGAACGTCAGTGGTGATTGGGGATGTCTTTGCGGTCGCCTTACCAGACTCGCCGATTCGGAAGAGCTCGTATGCGTCCCATGTGACGACACCGCCGGGGAGTCTGCTCCAGCACCATTTTATGATACTGCAGAGCGTCTGGCTACGTCAGCGCATGAATCGATGTGGTGAGATGGGCATGTTAGCCTACCAATGGCTCAGTAAGCCGCAGTTCTTGTGCCAGCCCCTCGCCTGTGTATTGCCGTGTGCCCTCGTAGGCGGCTTTGAAGAAGTTGCGTACGAAGTTGCGGGAGGCACTTGTGTCGGAGGTGGGGCGGAAGGGGAGGAGCATAAAGGGCATGTCCAGGGCTTTCGGGTGTTAGCAGTGCGTGCGGGGTGCCAATTGACGGGTCGACATACCCCTCGATTTCATCTCTTGGGTGCAGACGTGGATGAGCTCCTGAATCTCGTCGGGCGCGACATCCTTGCGCGTCCATGATTCCTCCCAGCGAGGCTTGGGCGGCGCGACGGGCTCGGGGGCAGTTTTGGCGCCCTTTTGCTTGTCCTTGGAGTGGAAGACATTCTTGAAGAAAGGCATGTTGGTGTATGGCGGGGCGGGTCTTCGCTACCACCAGGGCGAGTGACGCAGATGCGCTCGGGGGTGGATGCGCGACGCGGTAGTAGCGCGATGCAGGGACGGATGCTATTCAATTGCTTTTTCTGCGTATGGCTGCTGTGTTAGCAGTGTAGGTGTATAAAATCACTGCAAAGAGGTTCCTGGGCTCTGGCGGCCGAGGGGACGGATGGCTGCTGGCGGGAAAGGAGAAGAGCAGGCAGTTGCAGTCCGGCAGGCCTCATTAGGGTACAGGCGAAATAAGTTCCAATCGACGCCCGTCAATCGCCCATCCCTGCGCCGCCAAGCCCTCCCTTTGCAGCTAGCCCTCCAAGCAGCTGTGGCTTCTGCACGGGACATGCCTCTGTTTCGCATCTTTGCTTTAGTCGCCAGCACACCAGTCCCGGTACTCGAAAATCTACGCGGCAAACGCCTGGCTTTCGTGCGCGATTGGCGGGGCTGTGTTGATGTGTTGTCCCTCGTCGCGTCATCCACCGCGCATCCCCACCGTGTCACCGCTGACACCGCCTCATATCGCGCCCACTCGCCCTGCCTGGGCTGCTTCATCACCACCAGCCTTATCCCAGCTCTCAACACCACACAGCACCACTTCACGACGCCTCGTGGGACTGACCCTGCGTAATGCGCCCGCTGCTGATCCGACTAGCTCCCGACCCCAAGGGCCGTTGTCTCGTACGCATGAACCTGACTCCACTGTAAATCTAATACTCGTGATGCTATGGCGGCGGCTGAGAAGAAGCACATGCACCAGCTGAACTCACCCGAGGCCGGAGCATCCTATCTGACAGCCGCTGGCAGTGGCACGAACTGTACTCGCTCGCATACAAGGGCACATCTCTCTGATCAATTATCGCAGGCAATTGGCTTGTCACATGTCAATATACAAGGTGTAACGCGACAAGCAACCGATTTGTGTTGATGCAACGGCAGTGTCGTGAGAACACCATCTTACCCTTATGCTCACGTCAATACTCAACGTCTTATCGTCTCTCTGCTTTTTGCTTCCAGACAACCGCGTGACCGTCGCGCGCAATTTCCTGCAAACCCTTCCTGGTGGTACTTCGGCGTATCTTTGAAACGACAGAACAAAGTCAACTCTCCTTCACTTCCGCCCGCGTTCCGATGGCACGCCAATGGGTTCATGGCAGAACCCTGGTGGGAACGCAGGCTCAGTGGATATGACATCAGCATAGAAGCCATGGTTTCTCTGTATCTGAGCTTGCAGGAGCTGCCAATAGGGGGCATACTATCGGCAGTATTTTCAGCAGAGACACCCTATAAATTCAGATCGACAGGTGTTGTACCGCGAGAGACACCGTCTCAACTCTTCCTGATGCAGACGAGTGCTCGCGCCCGACGTGTTGTCTTCGGGCTTGTGCAATCGCCAAGCGTGCGGGCACGTGTTTTCGTGATCTGCGCTAGCCAAAGCTTCAAATCCGTTCTGGCCTAGCTCCAGAGCTATCGAAATGCCGTCCCGTTGACATCTCGACGTTGTCAGTACCCTGAACGCGTTCAAAAGCGACCCCTCGTGACATCTAATTAATGCGATCACCGGAACTAGTCCCTTCTTGAAGATCCGCGCACAATTCCGGGTTCGCTTTCGTTTTAGTTATTCTCTCTGTTGCGGGGTGCAGACAACTTCCGATCATGCCAGCCCAAACAACATGTCCGATACCCGAAGTCGACCGCGCCCTGTCGTCATACATAAACAATCGGGAAGACACGCTAAGGATTCGACGCGCTCTTTCCAAGTATCTCACCTCAAGCCTGAGGCCCGTCAATGCAGCGACCCAGAACCAGCATCTGAACCATGAGTGCCCACAGAACATATCTGCGGCCAACACCAACCCTCCAGGCCTGAAGGACACTCGATTGGAATATCTACAAGCTCTGCGGGCTGATTCCCAAGCGCAAACAAGACACCGTGAACTTCAGACGTCATTAGAAGATCTACGCAACCGCTACGTAGACGAGAACCCAACGCAGCCAGAATCAGAATACGACAACGAAGTTACGCGAGGTTATGTTGCTTTACTACGACAGCGCCAGCGCTATGCAGAACTTCAGGTCATCCAAGAGTCTCTAGACAAGCTCCTCACCGCAAAGCCATCGACCGCTGCGGCTGACCCAAGAGCTTCCATCAAACGCGCCATCGGCGAGCAACCAGACTTACCCGCCGAGAGGTTAGAGCAACTATCACAAGCCGAAGATGATCAAAACTGGGTCTTCAAGCTGAAGCAGGAGGTTCTCGAGGCGCGAACAGCCATGGAGCGCGCCCAGGCCGCGAGGCAGAAGGCCCAGGATGAGATGCCGGGTGAACCCAGCTTACAAGCACAAGTTCATGCGCTCGAGCGAGCAAGAGACGAGCTGGTTGACTGGGTGCAAGGGGAGTTGGCCAAGATGGAAGAGGACAGTGTTTTCCTTGAGGATGCCTCACCCGTCAAACGTCCAGTCAGCGTCGCGGCACCCGTCGATCTTGCGTCAGCAGAGACACAAATTCGAGAGTCATACAACAAGTACATTGAAGCTCGTGCTAGCCTGCTCGAAGCTCATGCAAGCCTCCAGCAACCGCTGGATGTCCAGACTGTCGACCAGAACGGCGGTCAAACTACACCTAACGAAGACAGCAAAGCCGTAGCAACGAAGCCCATCCGGCCAATCACCAAACTCTTGCCTTACCTTCCGCATCTTACCCAGATAGCCAACAACGAGCGTTCTCTACTCCAGCAATCTGTATACCTCCAGAGTCAGATAGCATCTGCAGACCAAGACATTGAAGAAGCGCTTCTCCGACTGTCCGGCGAAAGCCATCTCTTGCCCGCTGGTTCGAAAGAAGTCGCAGCATGGGGCAAGACAGCACGGGAGGCTGAGGCGGCTACTGAAAAACTGGTGAAGGAGCGTCTGCAGGCTGCCCGGCAAGAAGTGGGGAGTGTGAGCACGATTGTAGAGCTTTGCTCGTTGCAGAGTAAGGTATTGGAGTCAGCATAGGACGAGGGGGCGATGATAGCATGGGATAAGGATTGCAGAACCTAGGCAATGGCCCCAATCAAGCGAGAAAATATCATCTTCGCCAGTCACACAGGGCTTGTACATATCCCTAGAACGAATAATGGCATGACCTTTTTCCATTGACATCGCCATGTTAGACCAGCTCCTTTGTTCGATGTAAATGGCATGCATTTGCATGGCTGACTGAATAAGTGATGTCTGAAAAGATTACCATTGCTCGATATGTGACATCGAAGTGCTTTCTTTTGGTTTCAAATACAATGCACCGTAATGTTATATCTTGCAGGATCATTTCGAATAGCTATCAACACTCGACTCGGTACGGTATCGCCAGCGTCAAAGTATCAAGGCTGCCGCAAAGCCATGTGAACAAGACATATTCCTAGCTCGCAAAGAAGCCTCCTTTATTGGTTGTCTTGGAAGAAAAAATCCATACAGCGATCCGTCGTCTTTTTCGAAGTATCAGTTCGCGGGGAAAAGTGGTAGAGAGTGCAGAAGCGCAAAGCGCAGATGAAGGGCTTTATATAGCCGTCGGTGTCGGTCATCGACAGCAATTTGAGCGCACGATCTTTGACAGATGCAGACGAAGCATGACACTCTCGTTGAGTGGTTTTATGTGAAGTGCGAGCGCTACATGTTTACCATGCACCCCTTTTTCGCTTCTCAGAAGTACCGGCATTCTAAACATAGGATGTATTATTGAGAAGTTACATGTTAATTCTTCCTTCTCTTCTCCTTGGACATGGCATTGCATCCTTTTGATTTTGTTCTAGAGTCCAGGAGGATCGGCCATGGCATAGTTGCCGCGTAGTTTTGATATATCGAAGGCGGGCAAGGAGCCCTCGAGACATGGAAAAGAGAAGGATGACAGAACCGAAAGCATTATATGTTCCTCGTATCGTCGAAACGGGACATGTTGTTTGCGCGATGTGCATTCTGAATGTCGATCGCCTTGAGGTGAATTTGTCTTTGGCTCGCACCAGGACATAAGCACGCGATGGATTTTTTTTTTTGAGAAAAGACATGAGCACCGACGACGTGGTTTTTTTGATTTAGAAACCGAGCAGCCTGTGTGTGTAAGAAAGAGACTGTCAGACTGTAGAGACAAGCTTTTATACACGAGCGGTCAGTGCGCTATACCACTTTTGTTATACAAGTCCTGGCCAAGTACATCATAAACAGACTGAACAGCATCGTTACATATCAGCGAACACCATAGTATTGGCCCATTGCTATCGAGTGCTCGACCATTCTCAATCCATGATTTGACGTGTGTGTGGTTTTGAAGATGAACACATGTGTTCATGTATCCGACAACCGGGTTTCTACACATTCAGTCTGCTCGGTCTTCTCCATGAAGTGCGCAAGTACATGTTTCTAACACGTATTTTCTGACCAGAACATCAAAGCTTTCCACGTGAATGTTGCAGCGTACACTCAAACATATGTTCAGCAGGTCTCGAGTTCCTGCTCACACATAAGGCGGTCGCCTATGGTTTTGGTTCAAACAACGCAGAACACATAGCAACCCTCTCGTACTTTTTGGAAGATCGTACCGTGCGCATGTTGCTTTTGGCGGGAAAAAGAGAGTACATACGAGAAGAACAGTACCAAGTCGATATTTTATACCCGACCCAGCACTACTCACGCCATTTGCCACAGCGTTGACTTCTTTTTTTTGCGTGGAAGTGAACACTCAGTCTCATCGATTCTTTTCTTCACGCTTTTCTCACTCCGAAAACAAGGAAATTGTGGAAAAGAGCGATGGCGAGCACCCCCTGGCCATGGCTAGATTGTTGTTGACGTTTTTGAAATGCGCACATGACAAATCGGGATATCAATTGGAAGTAAACCCCAGCGGAGAACCCAGAGATATACGCTCTTGCAGTCTGTCTTTTGGAAGTTTGTCTTTTTAGAAAGTAATGAAGGAATGAGAAGAGAGAGCGTCCTTCTCA